TGACAGTAACTCTAGCTCTAGGTGATCTGACACAGTGCATATATGCACACGCGCGTGCACGCGCGCACACACACACACTCAAATGCACATACACAAACAAAAGTAAGTCTTAAAAAACCCAGGCAGAGAGTGATAGAAGATGATACTGGGTGTTAACCCTTGGCCACCGTAGTTGCATGTACAGGCTCCCCCCAACACACAAGTGCATATACACATACACACACCACACACGGAAACGTTTTAATTATTAATTTTTTAGCTGTAATTTTGTTGTTTTTTCAGAGACTTGCTCTGTAGTCCACACATGACTGAAACTCGTGATCTTCCTTGTTTCAGGGCTGCAATTATTATAGGCATGCCCCATGACACTCAATGCAGTTGCTACATCTTAGAAGTAAGGCATAGCAGATAAAGTTTTACTAGGTTAGTTCATCTTACAGTATCTGAAGGACTGGCCCATGACTCCTGCAGACACAACCCCAGAGACACTCCGGCCCCTTACATAGAGTGGTGCAGGAACGGCACATTGCCTTCCACCTGTCCCAGTGGTTCAAAACCTGAAGAGGGCACATTCCTGTTCCGGGAGGTCTGCAGGCATTCAGTTCAGAGATGGCTTCAAATACTCTGCCCTGCAGCTGACTGACCCTGTGTAGAGCCTGAAGCACCAAGGACGTGTGAGGCCATGTACTCAAACACTGCACTTCAATATGTGGCAGAATTTTTAAAATTAAAGAAATGTTTTACTTTGTTTTCCTTTTTGCTTCCTTCCTCCCTTCTTTCTTTCCTTCCTTCTTCCTCCTCCTCTTCTTATTGTTGTTCTTCTTCTTTACTGGTATGGGGCTTCTTAAGCTGATGTTTTGCACATTTAATCTCAACTTAGATATTAATTTTAATCAGAAATATTTGGTTTATACTTTTATTTCATAAAATCTACAGTTGAAAAAGTAGAGTCATTATTATACCTGAGATGTGTCAAGCAATAATAGACTTAGTAGCTTTTAAATTTAGAAAAATTAGATTAGATTTAAGATTCAGTCACTCAGGCCAAGTGTTGGTGCAGGGCTGCAAACCAACACTCAGGAGGCAGAACCTTGTCAGGAACCCTGACACAACCTCAGGGTCTGTGTGTCTCAGGCCAGCCTGGGCTACATGACAAGCTTTAGCTCAGCCTCAACTATGCAATGGGACCTTGTCTCAATAACTAACTAAATGAAATTTAGGTGTGTGGGTCTGATAGATAGAGTTCAAGAATAATGCTGTGCACTGCCAGCCACTGCTCTACCCAAGGGGCTCAGCAGAAGAAAGGAGGCAGGGTCATCATGGTAAGTCATGTGGGGATGATCGGATGTAACCTCTTCCTGGGAGGGAGGATAAGAGGCAGCCCGAGACACACAAATAGCAACAACATAAAGCCAGTTATGATGGATTCAAAACAGGAGACAGAAGACTGGCTAGACAGGAAAGAGCGTGTGTGAAAGAGACTGATGTCTGGGGTCTGGCAGTTATGGCTGCCTATGTATGCCTAGAGCTGGGACAAACAGCTCTGAACAGGACAGCACCACCCAGTAGGCCAGAGAGCATCCTCAGCACACTGCCAATGGAGAGAGCTTCATTGAGAACGGATTTGAACTATGTTTGGGGGAAACTCACTTGAAATCAACATGGATGACAAACAGATTGAAAGAAAAGGGCTTGGCTGTCACGTGAGCAATTAGCTATTGCACTAGCCCAGGCAAAACACAGCTGAGGAACTGTGTGCAGGTTCCGGGGAATGGGAGTGAGGGTTTGCTTACACAGGGACCTCAGGACTTGACAAGCTGAGGAAGAATATTAGAATGAGAGGAGGCTTCAGAGGATCTGTAGCAGTTAAACCAAGGAGACCCAAAGAACCTGGATGGTGAGAGGCCATCGCTAGTGCTCTGCACAGAAACGTCACAAGGGAGGTGGAAACCTGACTGTGTGAGCGAGGAGGGTCTTAGGGCAGGCATGAGAAGAAACAAGCATGCACGGCACCGATATCGTGTGCCCGTTAAATATCTGGGCAATGGCGTCATGGCAGCCAGGGAGTTCAAGATGGCTGTAGGCACACACTAAGACACTGTACAGAAGGGCTGGGTATCCGCAGGTGGGTTCTGGAACCAATCCCTGGCGGACACCAGGAGACAGCTGTATACTATTCCCAGATGGGTTGGGGAGCCGACAAACTTGGTCTCGTACCATTTCTCAGGAAGCAGCATGGCCATTTGCTCTCTATCTTATACAAACGAAAAAGGAAAGTGCCGTCTAAAGCTCTTTGAATAAAGTTCTCATTTACTGTTAAGAGGCTGGGTACCTACTGCACAGCACAGAGAGCAGGCGTTGAGGCTCACAGGAGGCTGTCTGTCTGATGCAGCAGTGACCCCACGGTTAGACCTTGCTTCTGCTTGGCCTTGCTACAGGAGCTTATTGTTTTTAGTTTATACACGGCAGGGAGAATATCCACCATGCACAGAGCCCTGAGTTCCACCTCCTGCATCTCAAAACCAAACAAAAAAAGGAAGAGAGAGGACAAAATAATACTTATAGATTCTGAATAATGGCTGCAAAGATGTATACCAAAGTGTTTTCTCTGGACGCCAACCACAGTGGTACACATTTGGAACCTCAGAACTCAGAAGATACTGACAGGGGGGTGGGGCAGCCTCAGCTGTGACAAAGTCCAAGGCCAGCATGGACTACATCAGACCCTGCCTCAAAGATCACAGCAAAGAAAAATAAAAGTCACCTCTGGGCCATTTTAATTTCCGTATTTACAAGCTTTTTATATTCTAAAATAGATTTGCAATGTTTTCATAGAGAAACTATCATAAAAGGCAACATGACTGAGAACACAGACAAGTTCAGTCTCTGCCAAGCCAAACGTTACAGGGCTGAGGTATTCTTTAAGGAGGTGGGCTCCAGCTCTTTTGTCTCTGTGGGTCTCATGCCTGCTTCTGCTGCTCCTGAAGCTATGTCCACTTATTTTCTTTATGATTTTTCCATTCAGCACAGCAGTAAAGGAAGGTTGAGGCAGACCTTCCTGAGAAGACAAAAAGCCTCTGTAGCCTGTGGGATGGAAACCTCCTAACAGAACATGGGCCTCTGTCATCAGAGAATTCAAATGCCGGGGGACAGAAATTCCGAAGAGAACAAAGAGCAGGGAGCTTGCTGGGTGGTGCTGCCACTCCAGGGCCGGCATGCTAGTAACTTCATATCATAATGACGGCATAAAGAACAAGCTGTCCCATTCACTGTGCACTCCTGCCACCACAGGGTCTCAGGGGAAACAAAAAGAAACATACAAGGGGTGTGAAAGGGGCTGAGGGCAGGTAGATCACCGGCAGCCGGGGAAGAGGGTGATGAAAAGACGCTCCTGTGATCACTCACCAGCCAAACCTAGGCACCAAATCAAGCCTGATTCTGTCTGCTGCGGTTGTTTCTCCTCAACAGCTGAGCACTCGGGGAGAAGCCAGTGGGCCTGAAAGATCAGCTATAGTCAGTGAGCCTCATTGCACCTGGCTGTGTTGACAGCAGGTTTCACTGGTTCAAGGTAGAAAGTCTGTCTATGCTAGGCTGTCGCTAACGCAACTAGAACTTTGGAAGAAAAGGTTCAGCTCAGAGGCAAATCTCACTCTTTCTTATTCCTTTCCACAGTTTGTAAGAAGCAACCTCCCCTGCGGCTCTTAAGAGGAGGGTCAGCCCAGGATCCTACTCCAACTGGGGCAGCCTGCTTCTGAGCATGCACTGCTCAGGGCGCAGGACTCTCCTTCCCTCCTGGCTAGCAGATGCAAACAGGGGCCCTGTTCCAGAGCAGGGAGCTGGGGAGTGGCCGAGCTTCCAACCACACCAAGAATGTCTAGGAGCCTTCTACAGCCTGGCTTAGGCCCACGAAGCAAACTCCACAGAGACTGCCAGAAACGCCCCCCTCCCCCCCCCAAAACACTGCAGGGCAAGGCTGGTTCTCAGTGAGTCATCTTGTTTGGAAGTCACAGGCTCTCAATACATTCCTGACTTTAAAGTGCTACCTTCCAGGCCCCAAGCGGCCTCACCTCTCCAGTTTTGTTTAGTTTTCATTTCTTTTTTGGTTCCCAGAGAGATGGAACCAAACAAGTAGCTGAGCAGGCAGCATCCATTTCTGAACTGAAGGCAGTGCCTTCCAGTGAGCTAGTGGTGAGGCTTCTCCTTGTTTGAAGGTTACTCAACACCCCCCACCGCATTTCATGGGTCACAGACATTCATTGACACTCAGACATTCCAGAGTAAAAGCTCAAGTAAGCAGCCACAGAACTAGAAATAAGCAGGTCACAGGGGCTGGCTTGCCTGAACACCGGGCCAAATTTTCACTGCCAGAGGGGTCTGTCCACAGTCACCAAAGCCTACTACAATAGTAAGCCTGGTCCTTAGCCCAGCACTCTACCTAGGGAGGAGCCGGGATTACCCAAAAGATTCTGGAACCATGGACCTGGGAGATAAGTAGCCCCTTCTGCTCTAAGTTAGGTGTTCCCACAGGGCAGGTAAAGATTCTCTCTACCCATGACCTGAAAGAGGGGTGGAGGGAACCGAGTCTGGGTCCCCAAGACAAAGCAATGACTAAATGGGCAGAGAAGCAGCCTGATGCAGGCCCTTACGTATCCTAGAGAGGAAGCTGAAAGGCAGGTGTCAGAAGGAAAACAACCACCCCAGTCAGGTAAGAGCTGTGGCTAACCAGACCACCTGTTTGGCTATACCCAAGGCAGAACCCAAGGCCAGCTGCTTAACCTGCTGCAGGTATTAAACTGTTGCTTGGAGACTCCACCCAAAATACCCAGCATGCTCTGGATGACAATGCAGTGGCCACTGTCACATCCACTGACACCCCACAGTACTCAAGTCTGTGGCTTCCGGGGCCCAGCACGTTCATAGGCATATTAAAAGCATCACTGCCTGGGCTGAAAGTGTAGCAGCAAGCTTCACTCTGTCCCTAAAAGAGTTATCTCAGATACCTTAGGTATTCCGGAACATTCAAGCCAATCACGGATGATGTTCTCAACAGTCAGGCCGAGCCTTCAGAAACAAAGCAAGAACCGAATGGTTAGAAACACATCAGAGCTCACATAACCAGGACACGGTGCAGTACTCAGGCAGAGGAGATGCTCTCTGGCTGGTGGTGTGGGAAGGGACCCATGTCAGGGTAACCTCTCCGGGAAACAGGACACAGAACAGGGAACTGAAGAGTCACAGGCACACAGTGACAGGTACTTTCAATGCTTTGGGGGAAACTTTAGAGGGAAGCAATGTTCCTAGAATACATGGAGCCTGTCACCTGCTCGAGGTGAGGCAAGTGTGGTAACATGTCTGTGAACTGACAGTAACACGAGCTACAAGAACAGGGCACTCTGTGCTCAGAGGACTTGTCTGCTTTCCAGAAGAACCACATCAAATCTCTCTGGACGATATTATGAATGCTTGTTACATTGGCTGAAACGGCTTTGCTTTCTTGCTTTGCCGACTTCACTGGCCTGTAGAAATCACCAAATATCTGGCCTTCCTTCAGCAATGCAAGGAAGGTTTGTTTACAGCAAATCCACCTCCCTTCATCCCCTTCCAGACAATTCCTGCTCATGCCCAGTATCTGCTCACTGGCCCCTGCAGCCTGCCTCCTTGGGTTACCATGGTCACAGTGTCTAGCACACTTGGGACTGACTGGTTTGGTTACATCACTTTTCCTGTCTCTCTGAAGGACGGAAGCTCTCCAGCTGCCAATCCCAGCACTCACCATGCTCCTGGTAGGGAAGCAGGTTTCTCTGGAGATACTTATATTTGAATGAATGAAAACACATTGGGCCCAGGAGTTGGTTCTGCAGTTGCAGCCTCAACTGTTCAAGCCTGATTACCAGAGTTCCATCCTAGAACCCACATACAAAGCTAGATGTGGCGGCATGCCATCTGTAATCCCAGAACTCCTATCACAGGAAGGGAAGTGGAGACAGGACAATTGCCTTGAAATTTGTGGGCCAGCTGGCAGAAAACAAGAGAGACCCTGCTTTAGCACAGTGGAAGTTAATAAAGGACTCTCAGCTGTCATCTGGCAGCCACACAAGAACACATGAGCACACATGCACATATATAAACTTAAACCCCAAGAACCCCCCCCCCACACACACACACAATTTCCTACTGACAACAGAAGTTGTAGAAATACACAGTCTAATAGAAGGCTAAGTGTAGTCCACGCGGGCTTTTGGTCAGAAATCAGTTTCCAATGGGCTGGGGAAACAGCATCTACTAGGGAAGAAACACGGGGAGAAGAAATGCAGGGAGAAGGTCTGGATTTCTACAACCACTGTTTCTCTATGGGACCAGTGAGCAGAAGATGGAGAGAGAACCTGAGAAGACAGAGACAGTACCTCTTCAGGTCTTCCTGGTCTTCAGAATCAGTGGAATTTCTTAGCACACCTCATAAGAAAGCTGCGTGTTGCCGTCACTGGGCCTTTTCATCACTTGCTACCATTTAATAGTTTCAATCCAGTGCAAACAACCAAGTGCCCTGTAAATGTTGGGCTCAGAGACATGTGAAGGGAGGAGGCCGCTCCCCAGAGCGTCTTCAGGATCACTATCCTTCCTGAGTATGGGAGAAGGCCTGGAGATACTGACCAGAAGGACTAGGATGGTGGGTCTGGATGGCCACTCAGGAAAAACACCACAGGAGGTCCCAGAAAACAGGTCCCTGGATCCTCTATCAAGCCTGGCAATCTCAAAGCCCAGAGCTGCTCAGGATAAGAACAGGAAACGGACCCCTGTATTAAAGACACTGTGTCCCAGGGGCAAGTCAATGGTAGGAAAGATGGGGACAAACAGCCTTTGTCTCAGGCAAGAGCAGGCCTTCAACTGAGTCATCTCACTTCATGTGCAAAGAGAAATCAGTCTTATCTGCCAGCCTCACACATTTCAAGGGAGAATTAACAACAACAACAATAACAATGTAATAATAAACATTATTTCCTTGGATGCAGGTAGGAAGTGCCCTTCACTGGCTCCGATCTAGCCAAACTTTTATGGGTTACACCTCTGACATCATCTCAGTGACCCTTAGGAAAGGCAAAGCCAGAGGCACCTCTAAAGCTGGCCATGCTGTACCTGGCATCCAGGAAAACAGGTTCATAGCATATGAGGAGAGAGAGGGCTGCGCTCAAAAAGCTTAGAAGTAGCAGGGATGAGCAAAGGGTCTGACACAGGAGATGACGGAGAACTCAGAAATGGGGATCACATATTGCCAAAAGGCAGCATCGAAGGGGTGACTTAACTGCCATTTTTGAAAGATGGCAGACAGCTGTTGGGCATCACCACAGAGGAGGGAATGCCCAGACACAAACGCCATTTCCTCTGTGGAATTTCCACGGCAAGACCCTTCTTTCAGGGGCACGGGGAGAGGCTGGGCAGTAAAGAGGGAGAAAGGAGGCCCTGGGCTGAGTCCTCAGGTGAGAATGCTGAACACCAGGCAAACATCTGCATGAGATAAGGCCCTGGTGGAGCTCTCATGTCCAGCAGCTCAGGTGAAAACATCCAGGGATGGAGCTGTCTCAGAGGAACAGATGACGGATGCCTCAGAGAACAGCAGCAGCTAGTCCGTGTGTGGTACGGACGACCATCCCCTGGCTCAGGGAGGATACGGGGGCTTGGGACACCAGAACAACATCCAGAGAGGGTCTGAACAGGAGGCAACACTTGAGCGTGAAGTTGGGGCAGCTGCATTGTCCTGCATGCTGGGGCAGGGCCACTGGAAATGGAGGTAGATAGAGGAAGAAGACCCAAATTCCTGTCCCACAGAGACAAGGTAAAGATAAGGCTTGGCCTAGCCAGTAGCACCCAGGATGAGGTGCGAAGAGACCACCATGGCTACAAAACAAGGCTGGAGGCAGGAGACCACATGGCAGGCTGATTAGCAGGTATGTGTGCATGTATGCATACATGTGCTTACTTTGGAGACAAGGTGTGGCACAGGATGGCCTCAAACCCAGTATCCTTCTACCTCAGTCCCTTGAGTGCATGGCTATCACCCAATACCAAGGGCACGGAGTGACAGGGAAGGATATAGAGGGACTAAAGATGGAGGGTGGACTCTGGACTCCATCGATCCCTGCAAGACAATGTTTTACAGAAAGCATGTGACTACCCTGTACCCCTCTGTGGCCAACTCTGAGGTTTGTTCACTGACAAGCAGTGAAGCAGATACTATTGCCATGTTCAGTATCTGCTCACAGTGCAGAGGCACTAAAACAGAACACAAGAACATCTTAAAGCACTGCCAAGCGAAGGCACAGAAGTAGCAGCTGCTATGTAGGAGGGCAGACAAGATCTCACCTGAACCTTAGAGAAACAGCATGGAGAGATGAACAAGATTCTGAGAGGTTGGGAAACTTATCTATGGCCACGCAGATGGTACTTGAAGAGCTGGGATTCAAATTTACCAAGCCCCCGCTTTCCTTCCCAGGCTAAGCTTGGGCCTCATGGTGAACCACTTTCTGCAGTGGTCTAGACACGCCCACAGAGGTGGGGCCTGTGGCATCGTGGCCAACACAGCTTTCCCTTCTCCCTAACCTTTCTGATGCTAAGCAGTCTACTTCCTGCTGTGGTGACCCTGCTTGCCAGCACTCCGATTTTATTTCTGAAGAGATGGAGAGGCCCTTTCAGGGCAGAGATGTGAGGACACAAGAATTTCCTAGGCTACATTCAGGAGCAAAACTGTTCTCCCTTAACCAGGGGAGCTTGGATTTTCAGATCACTTTTTGGAAAGATATGACACATCTTATAACCAAGACCACTTTGGTCCTTACAGTTGCTGTGTCAAGTGGGGGGCAACTGTTTGTGCAGGTGTTGAATCTATAGCCTAGGTGGACTCTGGTCAAAGTAAGTGCTGTCAGGGGGATTTCTAAGGCCCTGGTGTCAGTGCAGAGATCACTAGGCCTGTCTGGGGGACTGTGGAATAACATGTTAGACCACAAGAAGATGCATGGATTAACATTCCCACTCTCAAAAGCAACCAAGCAAAGCCAAGCTTGAGTTGCTGTAGGTGGCCTCATCTCCAAGGAAAGGGAGCCACCATATAAAAAATGCCCAATTTTCTGGGAAGAAATAGACCACATGCTTTCTGTTGTTCTGACCATTACTACAGACACGGTGCAGCGCTAAGCGGATAGCTGCTGTGCAGCGCTAAGCGGATAGCTGCTGTCACAGTCAGACTCACAGTGTCTAAGCCAGGAGTGTGTTGTCCCTGTGAGGGCTCATGGTTTTAACAATCACAGCAGACAAGCAGGGGCATTTCCATGTAGCTAGGACCCAGGAAATACAGGAAATGACCCTTCTGCGTGTCTTATCGCTATGGAAATTGACTTTGTCAAGACAGTTAATAGGACATAGACTCTAGGCTAAATGCCCTTCCTATCCCCTAGCCTACCAGGTACTAAGAGCAGCAGGCAGTTCTGCCCACTGGCTGCTTGCTTGTGTGAGCCACACTTCACAGGGCAGCTTGGAGTTTAAGTGGGTTATCTCCACACCGTCTAGGCTCTAAATGTGGTCACATCTAGTTAAGGGAACAGAACATGCTCATATCTGTAACACGATACTGCCTGGAAGAGAAAGCTGAGTTTTGAGCCTAGAAAGTGATCTTTCCATGGTGTGGAAGTGAACAGATATAAGCGCAGCTTGTAGGAGGATGGGCTGCGCACACCTGGATGTGCTTGCTGTTGTGGTGAGGATGCGCAGCGACTGTACTTGTGCCTGCGCCTATCGGCTGGCTGGACATGGCGTGAGATGCTGCTATCATTTTTGGCTCTTGCCTTCAGCCTCCTGGGATTCGAACACTCACACCCTGCCGTTCTTCCCACAGCCCAGCACACAGTCACATCAGCCTCGCATAGCAAACGCCAGGCCTCAGCAACTTTGAAAGTATAGGTGTTAGACAGAAAAGGCACAGTTTAGATGGAAATGCCTTTGTTTTAGAATACAACTTACAATCCATATCAGTTTTTATATATGGATAAGTTCGCTTTTCAACCCCTTCTCTCCACGTGGAAGCTTTCCACGGTGTTGCTCATTTTCTTGATCAAAACAAGGCATCTGTGCTCAGACAGCTAATCAAGACTGCTGACGAGGCAGGGAAGTGAGTGCTCCTTGCTCCGTGGGGGAGGAAGAACACGGGGTTTAAACAAACACATGAACATACATGCACAAACACCATAACTGATGGGCAAGAATTAATCAGCAGCTATGGCTGACACCTGGACCCAGGAGCCAAGGCTGCTGGACCAACTATTCCCTAGATGGCATAGCTTTTTGGCAGGGGGTAGATGGTGTGCCTGTCTGGATGGCCTCCTGAGCATGTCACTTTGTCCTTATCTCCCTCCCCTCCATACTGATTCCAGGGACGAGAAGCTGCCCACTGCACTTTAGCTCAGGGTCCAAGAAAAGCCACGCACCTGACTGGTTTCTCTATTCAGATTCACAACTAATCAGCCATTTATAACTGTGGCACCTCTCAGTCAACCCATGGCTCTGTTCCCTGCTTCACAGCCCACTGCCATTGTACCCATCACTGAAATAGCCCCAGCTCTCAAGAGTTCTTGACTCAAATTCTCTAGTGATCGCTAATGAATTTCTGGCTTTTAGCTTTCTCCATTCCCCCTCCATCCCCCTCCCCCACACAGACACAGACATTCCCCAAGGCTGTAGCAGGCTCTGCCTTGGGTCTCATTTCAAGTTGAATGCTGATGAGTTGCTGTCTGTGGCCCCAGGACCAAGAACCTCACAGAGCCCTTCATACACGGATTCTAATGCCCTGTCCTGGAGATTAAAATGACCCACGTTTTTGGTGGTTGACTGGGATCTCTCTGAAGGCTGGCACTGGATTTATTCTCCTGTCTACAGGAGATGCACCACAGAGAGCGCTAATACGTTGGGGCAGGGCAGCAGCGCAGAGGCGGCATGACATTGACGTACTGGCCACTGTGACTGGCAAAGCCTTGCCTGCTCAGCATGGCTCAAGTGCCGAACAGATGTGCCAAAGGATCAGTTTGCAAACTGGGGCCAAAGATTAGAGGCCCCAGGGGGTAGATGTGCAGTCTTTGGAGGCCCACATAAAATTAGTACAATATGCTGCATAGGTAATAGAGCAAACCATCTGTTTGAATAGGCAAACTAGATTTTGAGATTAGTTAGCCAGCAAGAAGATGCTTAAATTTGAAAATATACTCCGATATACTTGGTGAAGTAGGCTTGCTGTAGGCAAGAGATTATTTAAACATTTGAGGAGAATTTTTAATAAGACTTAAGCCTGCTGGGCAAAGCACGATCCCACTGGGAAAGGTGCCCATCAAAGGGATTCAGTGGCTGTTGGTGGGGCATAGATGCTGGTCTAATCTCCACAGCTACAACAAAAGTCTCTTTGTGGGTCCAGCGTGTTGCCTCAGTACATATCCACAACAATAAAATCCAGGCCCTCAGAGCCAGGGGGCTCAGGGCATCCAAATGAACTCCATACTGCATCATGGAGATTAAAAGTAAGACATATCTCCCAGACTAAAAGTGCACTGTGCGTCTCACTGGAAACTGCTGTCTCTGCCCTAAGAACTCTGCCCCGAAGGAATGCACTTTGGTGACCAACAGAAGAAGAAGCACACCACATCTATAAATTAATTTCTCCTCTCTCCCTCCCTCGCTCCCTCCCTCCCCACTGCTCTGCTGTATGTCCTAAAGAAGGGTCTCTATACCCTACCAGAGAACCTGAGCTAGTGTCCTGATGGCAGGTATAAAAGAAAAGAACATTGGCCCTGTAGTACAGTGGTCAGACACATGCCTAGCATATGTGAGTCTGTGAGCTTAATTAACATCCAGTTATGAGGGGAAATATATAAATCTTCCAGGTTTACTCTTGAATAATGAATAACCACATCAGAAGTGACATTTGCAGAAGACTCAGCACCTGTGCTGGGTGGTTTTATGTTAACTTGACACAAGCTAGAGTCATCTGAGAAAAGGAAACTTCAATTGAGAAAATGTTTCCATAAGATCGGACTGTAGGCAAACCTGTACGGCAGTTTTTTTCAGTTAGTGATTGATGGGGGGTGGTGCCATCCCTGGGCTGGTAGTGGGGAGCAAGCCAGTAAGCAGCACCCTCCATGGCTTCTGCATCAGCTCCTGCCTCCAGGTTCCTGGTGGGCATGTCTACAGGAGACTGTCTTGACCACCTTGATTGATGTGGGACGAGCTGATTTGAACGCTGGTGGCAGCATTCCCTGGTTTGGGGCTCTGGACTGTGTAAAAGAGGGTAGCTGGATACTAAGCATTATGTTTAGCATTCTTTCTGCCCTCAACTATGGATGTGATGCGACCATCCGCCTGAAGCTCCTGCTGTAGGTGGTCCAGGGTAGCAGTCCCTGACCTTCTCATCAGAGCGACCACTCTGCTGCGGAGTCCTCTTCTCCATCCGTAGCCCCAGAGTGCCCTTGGCTAGCTTTCCATTCCACATCTAAGGCCTGGGGCTGTGCATGCTGCCCTGACTCCAGCCTGTCTTCTGGTCAAACTGTGACTCCATGAGCTGCACTGGGTTCCTTTATGCAGAGAGGAAATCTCAACTGTCTTAGGTTCCAACAACAGGTTAAACGATGGTAGGGTCTTTTCAACATTAAATGTGAAATGGGGCTCTTAATTCCTATATTGGTCCTCACCTTTTGTCTTCTGGAATGCTCTCCAACAGAATTTGAAGGAAATCCTGAAATAAGAAGAAAGCAAACCATGAAAGCGGTCTACCAGTAACTGCCCAACCCTGCCAGCAACCAAGCATCGACTGTTTCCATCTCGGGTCTGGTCACACATAAAAGAACTGACCCCTCACTTTCCCACTCTCTTGCCATGAGGTCTTTCTCCACTTCTTGAGGCCCACAACTAACACGGAGCTCTGGAAAGAGGCCAAACTTAACAGAACAAAACCCAGCTGAGTGACAGAGACGGCCCAGTCTGATACTCCGTCCCTTCTCCTCTCCTGCGTCTGTGCAGTCACGGGACATCTAGGAGTTTGCCTCTGTGACAGTGCCATGTCATGACTTACACCTTTTCCCAAACCACTTTCTTTTATTGTGGAAATTTTCAAATGAAAAGCGAAGTCAAATAATTAACTACTCTGTTTAAATTACCCGAGCTAACCTGCCTTGCCCTATCCTTCCTTCCTGTCTTCTGAACTGTTAAGACATCCTGAATATTACATAATGTCATCCATAAATGCTTTGTAAACCTCTCTAAAATAAAAGTACTCTGGTGGGAATAACCACAATGTCATAGACCTAAAAGTTCCAATAGCAAGCTCGTTTGTATTTAATTTATACTTTTATTGCAGCCCCCTTTCCCAGTCCTACAATCCTGGAATCCTCACTGGGTCTTACCCAGTGTCGTCAGATAAAGGACTGTTAGTTAAATTGGGAGGATAAATACACTAAAAATGATCGTTTATTTAAAGTTAAGACTTAACAAGGCTTTTCTGCTCTGTCTTTTTATTTGCTGAATGCAAACCCCAGTGTAAACTTCTCACCATCTGAGTATCAGGTGGGGTGGACACAAAAGGAGAAAAAGGCAGGACGAAGCATAACATTTTGCTATTTAATTATATTAAACAGCAAATAGCATCTCTATTTGGAGGGTTTTTTTAATTTTCATTTTTCTCCTTTTTTAATACAGAGTCTCTTGCTATGTTAACATTTCATGGTTTTCTTTTAATGCAGTAATCTATAAAATTTTGCTTTTTTGTTTTTCTGGATTTGTACAGTCACTTTGGTTTTTGAGGCAGTTTCTCAACTTATAGCCCATGTTGATCCTCCAGGTTCAGCCCCCTGATGGCTGGGATCACATAGAGACATGAGCCACACCACCTGGCTCTCCTTGAAGATTTAACAAAGAGAAAATAAACTTTAGAGACACACACGATAGCCCATGCCTGTAATCCTAGTACTCAGGAGGCAGAGGTGAGAGAACTCGTTGGAGCCTGAGGTTAGCCATGTGAATCACTGCTTTATAGAAAGTACAGTATTCATGTATGAAATTCACAGAAAAAAATACATTTAACAAGTTAAAAGGTGCTCTTTCGGGTGAACGTCCAAGTGAGCACACACGACTGTAGCAGGGGATGGGAGAAGCAGTCCAGACCTATGCAGAACAGCATACTGACGGGTGTGCGGACGGGTACATGGCAGGGTGAACGGCAGGGTGTATGGACGGGTACACGGCAGGGTGCACGGCAGGGTGAACGGACGGGTGAACGGCAGGGTGAACCTTTTCCATCATCACACTGCGTCCAGCCATCGCAGCATGAGCAAAGCCAGCCCAGCCTGTGGACTTATGGGGGCTCCGTCTGTCCAGAGGGGAAGGCTCCTCAATAAAGGAGCTACTGACAGATTTCCCTCACACCACTGTGACTGACACCCTAACACAGACAACTTAACAGAGCAGAGATTACTTTGGCTCACAATTTTTGAGGCCTATTATGGCATGGTGGCCGGAAGGGCTCCAACAGCGGTACCCTCTTCACATGGTACAGAGGAAGAGGCAGGAAGCAGGGGCTGGAGCCAGAAGAGCTATGGTATGTAAGGCCCACTCCTCGCTGGAGCCTACTTCTGACAGCCAGGCCCTGCCTAGAACGGGTCCCACAACCCCGGAAAGCACTGAAAGCATTGCCACCTCTTGGAGACCAGTGTTCAAGCACACAGACCTGGGGATGAATGTAGGGACATGGCGGTGGGCGATAGGAGGCTGCAGGCCTGGACTCTTTACTACCCAGGCCTAACCCTGGACATAGAGAAAAACCATGCAAGCACTTCACGTCTACTGGGCCTTGCTTGAGAGTCTTAAAGTCATTATTTTTATTATTTTAAAGGTTACTGGAACTAAGGAAATAGGCTAGCAGTATTCAGCTATTATTTTAAAAAATGTTTTTAAAATGTTGCATTAGAAATTTATTTATTATGATTTAGCTAATAGATCGTTTTGTAAATCACTATAATAGTGGATCGCTGCTTATTGACAAGATTTTTGGTTTTTGATTCTTAAAAAATCCAAGAACTATAACTATGCAATTATAACTCTAATTATAACTTCTTACTAATTTTACCCCATTATGTCTGTATAGTACCTACAAACTTATCTCCCATATTCCTAGTAATTTATGTTCAATTATGTGGCACGGGAGGGGGGAGGGGAGAATGACATTAACTTAATAACAAGGGGGAAGAATTTAATTGCTTGAGAAGCAGGAAATTCAGAGTTAACCTTAATTCTACCCTTTCACATTTTCAAGTTACAACTGGCTTCACAGCCCCTCCCCTTTTGATAGACTGTAAGCACAGGCATCTGGAATTCTGGGTGGATCCGGGTAATGAAGAAGGTCCCTGTGCAAACCTCCCCCTCCTCCTTCTTATTTTAAGAAAGATGGTGTCCTGGCTCCTAGGAGGTTACCATTCTGGAACATCTGTTGAATCCCGCCTCCAAGCTTGGATTGGCAGGCAGCTCAGCAGCTAGCTGAAGGCTGCCAACCAATGCCTGAGATATACAGATCAAACAAGATGTCCCCTGAGATTTATGATGTGGTTTCTACACTCACTGTCTTGTGCTCCACCCTACTGGAGACACTTGCTTCTCATTTGAAGCCTCTAAAGTGCCTGTGACCAGAATGGGCTCAGTTGGTTCCTCTTACTCCCGCCCTTAAAGACCCAGGCTTTCCTGCATCCTCTTTAGGCTGTCATGGCTCTGTCCAACCCAGGCCCGCTGAGTCGGAAAGAAGTGTCCCTCAGGAAGATGTGTTCCCTCACCATCTCCTCCCTTCTCTCTGGTGCACTCAGAGTTCTGAGAAGGAAATTGGGCACTGACTAGACAAAGAGCTCTGACAACACCCGGGTGGGGGGGGCAATGTGTCACCTTTGTGGTATGCCTGAAACAAAGGAAAACCAAAAGGAAAAGCAAAGGTACTGTTTCCCAGCAAGCCGGGGAGTGCAGTCTTGGAGGCTAAGTTGTCAGCTCCTACTTTCCTGATACACTGTATGCTAATCAGATCAGTCCCAGACCACTTGTTTTAACACCTAACAACACTAAATTAGCCATTCCAAGTTTTAAAAAACAAGCTCCAATTCCGTCTAGTGGTTAATCTGGCGATTAATTTGTAGATCTAGTGAAAGCATTCACTAAAATGTAGGTGTATGTAGATTCTACCAGATCAACTGCTCCTAGATTAAGAATGACACAGGAATAGTGGTTCTGTGAGGAGTTTTAGGAATAATCACAGTGGTCATGGTCATGGCCTGGAAAGAAGAAAAGGCAACGACGTGGGACTAAGAAGTGAGCCTACGGGGATGGTCACTGTGATCCTGGAAAGAGGACGTCAGGAGGGGCCCAGAAGGCAAATAATACTGAAATACTGCAGAGGGTAGAGGTCAAAGGGGAGGGGAAGTCGAGGAAAAAAATAACTGGGTGTTGGGTAAGTGAAGACACAATCCACACAATTCCTACAAATTATTTAACTAGGTATCGGGGTAAGTGAAGGCACAATCCACACAATTCCTACAAATTATTTAACTAGGTACTGGGTAAGTGAAGGCACAATCCACAAAATTCATACACATTATTTAACTAGGTACCGGGTAAGTGAAGGCACAATCCACAAAATTCATACACATTATTTAACTAGGTACCGGGTAAGTGAAGACACAATCCACACAATTCCTACAAATTATTTAACTAGGTATCGGGGTAAGTGAAGGCACAATCCACATAATTCATACAAATTATTTTAATTAAAAAAAAAGCATGCCCAACAGCTTCCAAATAAGGACAGGGAGACAGCTTCCTGGCATAGATTTCAAAGAGGGGAATTAGGCAAAGGACATATGATTCTGCTAGTTTCTAGGTGACAAGCTGCACCTCCCCCACGCTCAGGCTTAGAAGCCGGGGAGCTGGTAAACTGTCCAAATCCCACAAATTCTCAAATACCTACACATTTACCTTTCTTCTTTCCTAGCTACCGGAGGGCCTGGAGCATTTGCTGGAGAGATGCAGAAGTATGGAAAATAAACCACTGAGGGCAGCTAGGTGAGCTGTGAACTCCTCCAAAGTGCCCAGATGGCATCCTGATCTGGAAGAGCAGCCGAGACACTACAGGTACAATGGACATGAGAACCTGGGCAGGGAGAGGTAGCAGCGTTTCAGGGGAGGGAAGTCAAATCCAGTGTAACTACTGCAGCTCTAGGCCACAGCTTCACCCATAATATCCCATCAGACGGTAGCTTAGAGGGGCTGAAAAACAAGTCTTAGGTGAGCTGGGAAAGGAGGCAAAGATAATATTCCAGTGCACACACAAGACTAAATAAAGGGTCAGGGCAGTGCTACCCATGCCGAAAGGGAAGCATCAGTGAGAATGAGCACAAATCACACGAAGAGAGGGGCAGAGAGAAGCTAAAAGAAAAGGAACTCAGCTCTGAAGAAAGCATAACCCAAGGAGCACGGAACAAATGTCTCACCAGGAAAACAAACAAAAAACAGCAACAATAACCAAAAATGAAAGGCCAAAGACAAGACAACAAAATGAAAAGAGATTCTAATCCCGGGAAAGAAAACTAAGGACCGTAATAATACCATTTCAGGAACAATAATCTTTTCAAAGAACAAAGCAACGAGCACTGATGAAAATGACGTTAAGTGTGAGGGATGCAGTTTAACTGGGTGAGAGCTTGTCTGTCATAAACCCTGTGACCAGGTGTGGTGATGCTGCAGGCCTGCAATTCCAGCCCTTGAGAGGTGGAGGCAGATCAGACCAAGGTTGTCTCAGCGCCGTTAGGAGTTTGAGACCAGCCTGGGTTAACTATCTCAAAAGAAAAAGAAAAAAAGGGCTAATAATGAAGAGCTGCTTGAGAGAAAAATGGGATAAAGAAGAGGAAGATGAAAGTGATTATCTAATAATGTATGTGCCCCAGAAAGAAGACATAACAGAAAACTCAGAATCTTACAAGGGGAAAAGAATGAGACCAAAGATGAGTTGAACTCAAGCGTGGTAAAGCAGGCCTGTACTTCTAGGAGGCTGAGGCAAGAAGAGCTCAAATTCAAAGCTAGCCTGGGCTACACAGCAAGCTCTTTTCTCAAAACACAAGACAAAATAAAACATACTTTGTTAGGCTGTGGTGGCCTACGCCTTTCATCCTCACACTCAGGAGGCAAAGGCGGGAGATCTCTGTGAGTTCGAGCCAGTCTGGACTACAGAGAGTGTTCCAGGACAGCCAGAGCTACACAGAGAGACCTCGTCTCGAAAAACAACCAACCAACCAACCAACCAACCAACCACAAAACAAAATGAAAACAAAGCATACTTAAGATAATTTGTTTTTTAGAATAGAATCTAAGACTATTCTAAGTGCTTTCCAGGGAGAAGGAATAATGGAAGATCGTGCACACCAGGAAGATCGTGCACACCAGGGCAAGCAAGATGGCTCAGCAGGGAAGAAGCTCAGAGTAGAAGGGGAGAACAGACTCCACAAGAGTCCACTGCACTCCATGTCTTTACAGGGCACACCCAACACACACTGTCTCTCTCTCTCCCTCAGTTTAGTAAAACAATTCTTTGAAACAATCGTGCATACACATTCCCTTTTAGTTAAATCACTGAATTCAAAGATAAAAATTTCTTCTGCCGTCTACATGATATAAACAGGGAAACACAGGCAACTTTCGAAAGTTTCTCAGCAGTGATGAATCAAGAAGGCAGTTGAGCAATATCTATCGAGTTCCAAGGAATAAAGATGTGGCCCAGGAATGTGTAAACCTAGCTATTTTGTGATTTAAACACAGACAGGAGACATGCATTCCCAAGCAGGAAAAACTCTGAAACCACACAGCCTGGGAAGCTGCAACTTGAACATCAATTTGATAATGAAATTGAGCCAACAAAGAGCTGAATCAAAATAAAATATTCATGAGTCTAGAAGCATGGGTAAGTGGTGGCAAATACTAAATCCTTTATGCTGGCAAAGCAAACCTCAGCAAGTAACAGTAAGAGCTAAAAATGTGAGGATTGGGGAGATAACAGAAGCATAGTGCTGCTTGTTTCCTCTTTAAAAACCAACCAACCAACCAACCAACCAACCAACACATCGATTCTGCTTTTGGCTTTTTTTCATTCTGACTCTGGCCAGCCCGGAACTTGCTCTGTAGCCAGGCTGGACGGAGACTAAGGGACTACAGCAGTGCACCTCCTCTTCCCCAGGAACAAGCGAGATGGGAAGTCACACTTGGAATCACAGTACCACATCTGCAGAGATGCGTCTCACCAGAATCACCTAGCAAAAGCTTTCTCTCTCACACTGTAATGAACCCAGAATGCTCATTTCAGTTTCCCTTCCCCTAAACTTGGGTGAATGAATCTTAAAAACACATACAAGCCAGGAGGCAGGACAAACAGAGTCAAGGCTAGCCTGGACTACAGCATAACACCTTGTCTCAAAGAGCAAACAAAGCAAAATAAGAAAAAGCAGAAGCCAACAAAAGTTGGCAAGCACACAGGGAATCAGCGAGAATGGAGAAGCAGGCAATCCTGCAGAACAGAGTAGGTTCTAGAAATGCTGATCAAAGACTGAGAAGCCATCTTGAGGACCCGAGTACAGCTCTCCAGCACCCATGTAATAAGCCAGTGTAGACGGAATGCTGCAGATACACGCCTATTGCTGGGGCAGAACAGTGGGCGGGGCTCCACCCCACCAAGCTGTACAGTACAATGGCAAGTTTTATTTTACGTATATTTTACTATAAAATCTGAGCAAAATGTAAATTTTCAAAAGGCATGCAGGCCCCTGAGCTGGCTAGGTGATGGCTCTTGATGCTTAAGCCTTATGACTTAAGTTCAGTCCTGAGACCCACATGGGGAAAGGAGAGAGCGTGTTGCTCTCTGACCTAAACATACATACACATACACTCACACACTAAATAAAACAATGAAAGAATGCTATTCAACAGAGTAAAATGGCAAAACCACTTAAGTCAAAGGGTTTTTGCTGCTGTTTTGGGCATTGTTTGTTTTGGTGTGTGTTACGTGTGTGTGTTGTGTGCAAATGTGTGTAAGTGAGCATGCCTGCACGTGAGGAGGCCATAGTGTTTGGCGTCCTCCTTTAACACAGTCACCTTTCTGCCCTGGAGATGGGTTTTTGTCTTTGGAGTGTGGGTTTCATTTTTCTCTGCTGGACTTGTGGCCAGCAGGTCCCAGTGATTCCCCTGCCTCAGTGCTATGTTACAAGTGTGCATGGGACCAGAGTGCTGCGTGGGTGCTGGGAATTGAACTCTTGTTTTCATGCTTGCACGTAAGTACTCTGAGCTGCTGGCCAGGGCGACTCTGAGGTGGCAGCACCAAAAGGAGACAGCTTGTCCGGATGACTCCAGCAGGACCGTTTGGTTTCATGAGCTCACTCAGTCTGCAACTACTGACATGATGGCAAACAGCTGGGGGCTACAGCAGGTCCCTATGCTGCCAGGAGCTCACCTGCTCCAAGCATCCACCTTTGAGTCTACATCAATAACCTACTTCTCCCCATCAATATAACTGTAAATCCCACCCTTTCCAGTGCTGATGTCCTCTAACCCCCAGATGCTTCAGCCTCCCAGCTGTGTGCAGTGAGTTCACTGGGATCTCATGCATACCTGTGAAAGGATCAACTGCCCATGAAACAGGTGTACAAATTTTCTTAAAAACGAAAAGTAAGTTTCCTTTCCAAGTGTTCTGGCTAGGAATCGGAGAAGGAAGTAGCCCTGGGAGAAAAAAGAAGACAGACAATAAGCTGGCTTCAGGGGTCATCGCAGAATTGCTTACATCAATCAGTGCCATGCACTTGTGCATCCGGAACATGCTGCCTTCTCCTGCTCAGGTGAGTGGGCCTGGAAATGCAGAGTGGACGTCAGAGCCACCCAGCTCGGGCTCTACAGGACAGGAGAGGCCCAGAGCTTTCCCACCCCAGGTCCAAGTGCCACCTGCTTTAGTCTCTCCTTGTCTGCAGCAGGGAACTGGGCTTCCTCAGGCTGAGCCTTGTGAACACAGCCTTGTTTAGAGGCTTTTAGAGTGCTGACCTGTGAGTACCCAGTCTGGGCTCCCTGAGACACCATTACAGAGGTGGAGACCCTTTATCCTGCCCCAGCCACGTTCCTCATCCTGCTCAGCTCTATGGCCTCAGGAGTGCTGTTCTGTAACAAATGGCCACAGCCATCAGCGTGCTTACCTTTAAGTAATGAACCTGCATGAAGCCCTTCTCTGGGTTGAGTCCATGCTTGACAACGGACGCGCCTGAAGAGCTCACATGGCCAGTGTCCTCTTTGTTGGGTCTAGAACAACACAGTGATCACGTGTCTCAGTACAGTGCTTTCATGCCCAACTGGAACATCACCTCTCATCTCTTATTTTCAAGCTTGTGCGGCTGTGCCTTCCTTCAGGTCAGTAGTTCCAGGTATAACTGAAAACAGTTTACATTGCAAACACACACACACTCAGCAAGAAGGATTTACACTCAGTCTGGCAAACTGAGGCCAGTTATTGGCAATACTTTAAGGCACCTTATCCAAGATGAAAGCCTGCCAGTCCCTCCAGGAATCTTAAGCTCCAATATGAATTATTTATCAGTGCAAACCCTTTCTTGGTGAGGAAGCTGAGCTGTGAAGTGCAGTAGCAAATGTACCTCACTTGGTAAAGTGTGTGTGCATGTGTGTGTGTACGCGCATGTGTGCATGTGTGCACATGTGCGTGTGCGCGTGCATGTGAATGTGTGCGCGCGTGTGTGTGCGCGTTTGTTAAATGTAGAGAGGCCTAATGTTTTCATCTCAAGAGCTACATTTAATAATTAAGAATCCCTTAGGACACATATGCATCCTGAATCCACTTGACAAACACAAAAACAAGCACAGAATAGGTCCTAAGAAGCTCTTGATTTGGGGACAGGTGGGGACATTTGGGATGATATACTCATTTCATACATGAGGTCTGTACCCAGGGTGTGATGCTTTGCTGAGGGCTTGTGGTGTCATGTAAAATAAACCAGTGTCTCATTATCCAGCAGGGTATGTTCCACCGCAAGCTCAGCTTTAAGGCTTCTCCTCCTCCTTTTTCTTTAACTTCCCTATGCTGAAACGTACCAGATCCTCTGAGGCTCTTCACATGGTGAGACCTCAAGAACAGCTAAGAGCAAACTAAGTGACAGAAGAAATGTGTAGCTTTCTGGGCCTCCTGGACAAATGCTGCAGAATGTGTTAGTGCCGGGCGAGGGGAGAAATGAAAGGCGGAGGAGCAGAGCGCCAGGACAGCGGTCTGAGCAAGGTGGTTGATTATCAACTTTTCTTCTTTGTCTTCTGTGACTGCTGAGGTCAGTCTCGCTGTGCTGGCTCGGGCTGGCCCACAGCCCATCTGTGGACAGGGCTAACTCTCCTACCTCCTGAGGCTGCTCAGGGTGATGCACCACCACACCTGACTTCAACTTTCTTCCTGTTATCCAACCATCAATTTATTAACTAGTAAAATGGAAGTAAATTCTACTCACATTTCTAGGTCCTAGGCAGTCCCCACAAAATCGTGATAAATATAAATAATTACTTCTTTAATATAGTAAGCTATTTTAACTGTGTTACAAAAAGAGTCCCTTAGTAAGTCTTAGTAGAATATCCCAGACCATAGCTCTAGCAGACACAAGGCTAGCAGGTCCCTGAAGCAAGGGCATTAAGAAGGAGCAACTCTGGGAGCTGACTTCAAAGTCTGAATTTGTCTCCTGCCTCCCCAGTTGACTTACATGAACACACTTTAGAATCACCCACCCCTTTTGTCTTCATGAGTTCTCTGACATGCCTCAGCTAAGGCCTCTGTTCTTAAGCCCTTTTCAAGACCAGGTGATTGACTATTTGGATGAGGAAATCCCATCACCCTACTTGGGGAAGGACAGCTTCTTAAGAAGCCTAGTGAATTCACATCAGGATGCCCAGCTCTTGCAGTGAGGCTACTGAAGGGGAGGAGACAGTGATGCACACCTCTGCTCACAGCTGGCTTTCAGCTTTCCAATGACACCTTTAATGGCTGCCTAAAGATGTCCTTCTGTAAAACTCTCTCTCTCAATCTCTTCTCTCCTCTCAAAATGAACAACTGTTTAGGCAGATCTTCTGTGTTGTCAGCAGCCCTACCACATACACAAGTCCTCAGAGATTTCTCGTAAAGTGCACGCAGAGTTAGGGCAAGCAGGGCACAGACAAGTTCTGCGAGACTCCAGAGGAGGTTTTCATGAGAAAGGCTTTCCATCAGCAGAGACCATGAGCTTCTGTCTCTGGGATACCCAGCACGTGTTCACAGAGACAGCTCTATGCAGCTACAACACAGAAAAAGCAGGAGCCACATCTAGTCTGCCCCTCACGATCACACAGAGGAAACTCACACCCGCCAGGATCGCTGGCCTCTGGAGCAGTAGGAACCTTAAGGAGGGTGAAAGAGGTTAAAAGAGAGGCTTCTGAGATGATCACAGACCATTTCCATGTGACTAGAAACTTCCTGGAGTACTCTAGCAAAGATGTGTGCACTTTGCACTTTATTGCATGTGTTTCATTTCAATTTAAAGTTAAGGAAAACCTGAGCATTCAGATGAATGCCTGAAACTCCAGTATCTTGAGGCTGGGGTAGGAAGAAACAAAGTTTGAGGCCAGCCAGAGCTACAAAGTGATATTTTATTTCAACAAAAACCAACCAAATAAATGAAATACTAAAAAGGAAAAAGAGTTAAGAAAAAGAATATGCAAATAAAACAGTCCCCACCTTTCCTCCCAGATCAGGGCACACCAGTGTAGAAAGGTGTCTCCTCCTGTGGGTACAAACACAGTCCCCATCTTTCCCCCTAGATCAGGGCACACCAGTGTAGAAAGGTGTCTGCTCCTGTGGGTACAAACACAGGACTGGGACACAGGACGAGGGCAGTGGCTGGGGCTCGCCTGAAGCGTTTGCTTCTCTTACAGCAGAAAGCAGTGACTACTACTGTGCTTCCACCCACTTCTCATCATAGACATGACAGAAGGAAGGAGATGAACCACTTGTCACCATGAGGCAGCAACTCAGTGCACCCAGAGACTAGAAGGAAATAAACCAAGGTAAAACTTCTTCAGTGGCGTAATTCAGCCCCACGGTAGCTCGGACTCCCTGCCCTTCTGGCCACTTCTCATGTGAAAGGCATAAGCACCGTGTGTTGAGGTCAGCTCTCCTTTACCCACACCTAGACTCACACGTGATGGAAGGAAGGTGGGAGCAATGCTACCGGCAGCACGGCCTGGGTAAGGGCCAAAGTGTCAGTGCCATTCACCCCACCATGATCTTCTGCAGCGTGTCCTTCTCCCCTACAAGAACCCGATGGGAAAGGGCTGTGAGGATGCCCATCAAGAGATAAAGAAGTAGGGGCCCACACAAGAACTCAAAGCTGGTTGGTAGCTGGTCAGAACCCAGGCAGAGACTGTATGCCAGGGCTTCCTTGAGAGATAGGCTCCCACCTAGCTGTGCAAAATCCTCTGGAGAGAACAAGAGACCCACCATTTTCCCTCCAGGAAGATTTGCTTCCTCACTGCAAGTCTATGATGAAGTTCACATAAGTAAAATCACTGCATAAAAGCAAACTGTAGTCACGCTGCAGTCAGAAGACTCCAGCGTTTACTCCTCGCCTGACGTGTGTGGAATGTGGGTGGTCAAGTTACCAAGGTCGTCTGGGATCAAATGCTCTTGGTTTCTGTGGTACCTAACACCAAGTACAGCAACTGAGGTGAACATGACCTTTCTGGCCTCAACCCCACCTCTCCTGCACTCTCACAGAAACCATCATTTCCTGAATGATGGTGGTATCTGACACACAGATATGCCATTTGGAATGAGGCACTTAGGAGAGGTCTGATCCTTCTAGGCTACAACCAGGGGTGAAAGTCGGGCAGCTTCCTCTGTGAGGTGCTCAGACAGCTAGGTGTCTGGTTCTGTCTGCCCTGTGCAGCTCATACAGATCATCTGCCAGAATGCCCTCTTGTGTTTGTGGGCACCAGCTACCAGTGGCTTCTGTATGTTGTAATGGAGGTTTCTATCCCGCCCGTCCCGAAATAATCATACAGAAACCATATTATTTGTAAATACTGTTTGGCCAATAGCTTAAGCATATTTCTGGCTAACTCACATCTCAAATGAACCCATCTCCATCAGTCTGTGTATTGCCAAGAGGCTGTGGCTTACTGGGTAAAGTTCTGGCGTCTGTCTCTGGAGGCAGGGCTACATGGCTTCTCCTCACTCTGCCTTCTTTTTCTAAGCATTCAGTTTAGTTTTCCCTGCCTACCTCTGTTCTGCCCTGCTATAGGCCCACAAAGCAGTTTCTTTATTAACCAATGGTATTAACAGCATACAGAGGGGAATCCCATATCATCTCATTGGTCCTTGTCTACTTGTCAAACATAGCCACCCCAACAAGAAGCAGAGCTTCATTTATACCCTAACAATGAGGAAGTGAAACTGTCCAAGTAGAAACTGGCCTCAAGGTCCCATCTGAATTTCACTGTTGAAAACCCACAGGGGATGTACACGCAGGTTAAGATTTGATCATGAACATTGCATGCCAAGCCCTATGAAGCACAGCTCCCTCGTCAGCAGAAACAAGAAATGGTGACTGTTGAGATGGCTCACTGCATGCATGGGCTGACCGCCAGTGCCAACACAAATGCCAGGTAGGAATGGAGGTGGGGAGCATGCTGGATATACTGGCCAGAATGGGAGATCCTTCCATAAGGCATGGGTGCAGAGGTTAGAGAAGACAGCTGGCGTCTTCCTCTAGCCTCTGGGGGCAAACACACGGACAGGAGCCTACATATCTGCTAACACACCAGCACAACGCACACCACACACACACACACAAACACACATCAGAGGGACAACAGTGGCTCTGGCATCTCAGTGGGCTGCAGCATCCAGGACGGCTGAGTCAGAGTTCCTCCTGGCTTTCATTAAGTCCACAGGAAGTCACTCCTGTTATGAGGATTTTGATCCACACCCAGAGAACACCAGTTAGAACCTCCTCAGACAAGCCAAACCTCAGAAAGGCATGGCTGCCACTACACAGGTCACTGGTAGTGGAGACATAGGAAACTTCCTTAAATCTAAAATTCTTCCAAAAACATAAAAACAGGGCTGGAAAGATTGTTCAGTTGGTAAAGTACCTGCCTTGCTTGCACGAGGACCTGAGTTCAAGCCTTAGAACTCACATTAAAGGGAGAAAAAAAAATCTAAATGTGGTGGTGTTTGCTTACAGTCCCAGCGCTGGGGAAGTAGGCAAAGTAGTATC